TTAATTTATTTTAATTATAAAAATTAAATAAAGAAAACCGAAACCCAACCAACGAAGTACTACTATGGTCGTACTAATTAATTTACTTTCTACAAGTACGTCTCTCTCTCTCTCTCTCTCTCTCTCTCTAAATTCTTCACTCACCAACTCGAACAACGAACCAACACAATCCTAATTCAAGCATTATTTTCCAAGCTTAAACATGTCCACTATAGGATACACTAATTCCTTCATAATATTTTTCCTTGACACCTTGTTGTTACCTTGGCACTTTGGACAATTAATATGGCTAGTCCCCTTCGGGACAAGAAGAATCCTGAAGCAGCCACCAGCACGTTCGACCTTCTTCAAGGTCTAACAACGAACCAACACAACTATTCATATCAAGAGATTAAAAGTTGACGACACAAGACATGACAACAATAAGCTCCTTCCACGACCCAAAGGACCTCACCAACTCAAACAACTAATCAACACAACCCCTATTCAAGCAGTATTTGCCAAGCTTACACATGTCCAGTATAGGATACACCAATTCCTTCATAATATTTTTCCTTGACACCTTGTTGTTACCTTGGCACTTTGGACAATTAATATGGATAGTGCCCTTAGGGACATGAAGAAACCTAAAGCAGCCACCAGCGCGTTTGACCTTCTTCAAGGGTACGCGTTTGACCTTCTTCAATGGTGATATCTCCGCAATCATCATGTAGGGAGCTTCCAAAATGTCCTAGTAGATCTCTATCACCATCTCACCTCCTACTCAATCACTACCATAGATTAATTTTCTTCTACCTTTAAGCTCCAATCTATGCCTCCAACAAGATTAATGCTATTATTTAACTAGCATACAAGTTCCATTTCAATATTTTTGAATACTTCGCTCATTAGGACCATCATTAACTGATAAATAGTTTCATTAACAAAATGGACCACTAAACTTCTTTCCTAAACAACACGATTGAGATATCACTGATATGCCTCTATCTAACAAATCATTTTCATCATCAAACCAACAGACACTTCAACAATTAAAAGCAGTGGCATTTGAATGACAAGTGGCAAATTGGATTGGTTCCTAGTACTTACAGATGATGGCTATCAATTGAAGTCTTTGAAAAACACAGACTATTTCTGTTATGGTAAAATCACAACAAATGAGAAGGCTACTCCATTAAAGACATTGAAAAGTGACAGCTATTTTATTATGGAACAACCAACCAACACAAGATATCCATCTCTGAGCAGTAGGAGTTATCTTTGTCCTTTATATGCAGATTGATATCTTACTTTGCTTGATTTCACCATAATAATAAATAGTGTATTTACTTTGTTGAACCCAATGAGATTGTAAGTAGAGTGATCGTAGTTACATATTAAATGGAAAACAAGAAAAGCATGAGGTCACAAGGCAAGATCAGATGAAAATAAAAACTAAAGCAACAGGTCACAAAGTAAAGATATTTCAGAAAGAATGTCCACATAAATGACATCTTCAAGAAAAGAAGCTATAACAATATCAAGAAAGAACATGATTGGGCAAACATTACCTGAAAAATCATTGGATGGAAGAAGGCGTGTAATATCCGAAGGACACAGGGTTGAATCATCACAAATCTGGCGCAGTCGCAGAATGATATGAAGCACAGTGGAGTAATTGCGCACGGCACTGCCAGAATCGATATATTCTGAAACAACATTTTTAGCATTTGTTTCCATTTGTTCATACAGCATGCGCTCCTCTGCAGAAAGCTCCACAAAATGAATTTCAACAGTTTTTGGCGGCAATCCAACCAAGCTTTTCCTATCATCTTGCACATCTTTTGTCCTCCTCAGAGAAATGGTTCCCATCAAGGCCTAGAGCATAATAATCATGGATTAAACAATGACTTTAAACAAACGGATGCACACACAAAGAGGGCCGGATTATTGAATATGAGAGAGAGAGAGAGAGAGAGAGAGAGAGTAGTTTTTGAGCTGTATCTTACCCGCAAACGCATGAGGCCACTTGAACTCCCTTGGCCAAGTGAACGCTGCATTAAGCTCTGCCAATAACTTTTGATTGAGAAGGGTTGGAACCTCAAAAACGCCATGAGTGAGAACAAATCAAACGAATTATTTTGAATAGGCGTCCCAGTAACCGCCCACCTCCTCTTTGCATTTAGAGCTATTGCCGCCTTAGACTGTTTGGCTGATGCATTCTTCACAAGGTGGGCCTCATCCAAAATCACTCTCAACCACTCTATCTCCTTAATAGGTGAATCAGGACAATCAAATTCAGCAGCAAGGGTACTATATGTCGTCAATACAAGATCAAACTTTCGAAGCTCCTTTGCTTTGTTGGTCCTCTCTCCATGGTACAAATACACCTTCAAACTACCATGTTTAGTATGCTCTTCCAACTGTGAAATCCATGTAGAAATCACTGAAGGGGGGCAGACAACCAGAGTGGTCTTTGGCCCCGACAAACTAGGACCTTCATAGACTACATTGTCCGTAAATTCTTTAACAGCCCCACTATCATTTTTCCTTTTTTTGCGAGAATTCGAATTGGAATTTTCCTTCAAATTATTGGTTCTCTTGGATTTTTTCCCAACTGATCTAGAACCAGGATCCAGTTCAGAATTAGGATCAGAAATTGAATTCTTCCTTCTAGAATTAACTTTCTTGGACTTAGTAGTAACAACTTCAGAGGAACCATCCAATTCGGAATTCAAATTAGGGTTTGTATTCTTTGTGCTACAATGAACTTGGTCAGAGTTAATATTAACAGTTTCAGAAGAACCAGCCAATTCAGAATCAGCATTGATAAAATTTGGAACTACAACTGAACCGGGTTTGTTTATTGCAATCAACGCTAACAAAGTAACAGTTTTTCCCAACCCCATATCATCAGCAAATATACCACCCCGGATAGGCTCAGGTCTATCATATGTCTGGTAGTTTGTCAAAACATTGAAAAAGATCTTCTTTCCCCCAATTTCTCTCTCCTCCCAAAATGGGGGTAATTCCGAAGAATTCTCTCGATGAACCAACCAACCCAACCCTTCTTTTTGGTGGGGAAAAAGCTCAGAAACAATAGTCTCAGAGGGTTCGATCATTCTTACCTTCTTTTCGGTCTCCATTGATGAGAAAATCTCATCAATGCTTCGGGAATGTTCGCCTTTGCTTCTCTCTTGAACAACCACCGATTTAGAGAGAGAAAAACCAGCATCAGTACTTGAAATGAACTCCAAACCCGACTCCAAAATCTGAAGCCTCACAGCTTCCATTAACTCGAACCTTGCGAAAATGTGAACTTGACATGGCATTTTGTACAAGTTCCGAAGGCCTCGAGGGACTATCCCTTCAGCGGTGATAAAAGATTCATCAATGAGAGGAGAGAGAACTTTTGCAGAGTCCCTCTCTATGTAACCCACCTGTTGTCCTCTCATGTTGAGGACTTTAATGGCGTTTGGGTCATATGGGTTGAGGGGTTCTCTCACTAAACCCACCATTTCTCTGCCATTAATAGTGCCCGTGTAATGTTTCAGGCCCACTATGTTAACTATGACAAAACCCACCATGAAAGTTTCAGAGGTGGAGGCCATGCTTTCTAAGCCGTTCTCTTCGTCACAGTCCCCCATTAACAGAGAACGTTTTAACTAGAAAACTAGAGAGAGAGAGGGAAAGGGAGGGAGGAGTTCAAAACCTAGAGAGAGAGAGAGAGGGAGGCAATATAACCCAGAAAAAGAAGGGGAAAAGGGATGGGCTAAAACCCAGAGAGAGAGACAGAGAGAGAGGGAGGGGAGACTGTGAAAGGCAGAGACAGAGAGAAGAAAACTGTAAAAAGGCAAAGGCAAGAG